AGGAGCTGTCCGCTGGAGAGAAGAAAGCTGTGGGTGTGGGACGAGAGAGAGTGACTGGTTTCCATGTGGAGGTGGTGGTGACAGGTGCTGTGGACCAATGTGTGTTTTATGGCAAGGACAGTACGGAGAATGTGCAGGAGGAGACGGTGTGTTTTGCTATGCCTAGTGGGGGAGGGGGCGGTGGAGGTGTAGGAAGCTCCACTGACCCTTCGTCAGATGATCCCCCTCCTGGACAACTCTTTTTCCTTCAGCCCCCACGGGGCCCAGAGGAGGATGTAAAAGGAGCGAGCACTGGCAGTGGGTCAGGAATGTGCTCTTTGGACTGTGCCAACAATAACAGTCCTGGTTCAGGGGTGGCAGTGGGCTCTGGGGAGCGGGTAACGCGACCAGACTCTCCTAGCGTTGGCGAAGACTGTTCAGACCCTTCACTGTGTCGCCTCTACCGCCACGTGTCCCATGACTTCCTGGAGATCCGCTTTCAGATTCAGCGACTCCTCGAACCACGACAGTACATGCTACTGCTCCCTGACCACATCATGGTCAACATCTTCAGCTACCTGCCGACACACTCCCTGGCAGCTCTCAAGTGCACCTGCCACTACTTCAAGGCGTTGATCGAGACATATGGGGTGCGGGCAGTGGATTCACGCTGGAATCAAGACCCTCTGTACAGGGATGACCCCTGCAAGCAGTGTAAGCGGCAGTATGAGCGCGGGGACGTTTCTTTGTGCCGTTGGCACCCCAAACCTTACCACCATGACCTGCCTTATGGACGTTCCTACTGGATGTGCTGCCGGCGTACAGACAAGGACACACCGGGATGCCGTGTTGGGCTCCATGACAACAACTGGGTCCAGCAGCCTGCTGATGGCTCTCAACCTGTTCGCACCAAGAGGGAGGACAGGAGGGAGGAGGCCAGGTAGAGAGGCAATAGCACACCTCACAAACCAACTCTCATCTCATTTTGTGTACCTCCTTCTTTCTCCCTCTCATCTCTGATCAGAGGACACATGGGAACAGAGAGTCGTACGCGGAGGAATCAGCACTCCAGGACTGTTTTGTTTTTTATTTGCTCCAGCACTCCTGTCTCATGTTTGCCCTCAGTGGAGGGAGGTTGAGAGGTAAAGAAGGAAGAGAGGTGTGTCACTCTCCTTGCCTTTTTCCCCCCAGCCCTCCAGAATCCCGTCTCTCCCGCTGTGCTCCAGAGTGGCTACTTTTAAAAGTTTGCATACCAGGGTTGGGGTCCCCTCCTGCTGCTGTCAGTCAGCCCTTTTCTGCCTCTTAATCATTTGGGTTTCTGTCTAACTCTGCACATCGTTGTTAGGTAATTCATGTGAAAACTTTGCAGTGTATTTTATTGAGATTAGCATTCATAAAGTGACGCATAGAAATGTAATGCCCTAGAGCCTGCTTACTATTCCCAGTACTTGTTCTATGTTCTGTGTCGTATCACAAACCTCCATGTTAGCTGTACAATGGTGCTTCAAGGAATGAGCTGTACCGAGTCCAACAAATGTAAAACTTTTCAGTGGTGGAATGTTCAGCGTCGCTATAGAAATGTGATTGTATTAAGCAAACTTGATTTTCCGTTGTACAAGATTGCCATTTGTACCTGTCCTGCACCACGACTTTCTATTTTTCTGAATGTGCTGTAATGTTGTACTCTGTTGATCAGTCCCCTGATAATGCTGCTGAAATCATTGCCTGTGTCACTGATGTTAATTCTGAAATAGCCATACCCTTGGTTCATGACAGGCACAGTCTCTGCATACTCGCCAGTCTCACTGAGACCCGTTCACATGTGAGACCCTTGTCATTGTTTCAGAGTGGACCCTAACCTTGCTGACCAGCCATAAAGAGGAGCCACTGGTTTACAGAGAATGATGGGAGATGGACTCTAGGATCAGGGGGATTGAATGGGATTAAAAAGAGAAACTTGATGTCACTTTGGAAAGGCCTGATGTCACTTTGTATGGTTTGATTGACTTGCTTGTTTGCCATTTTGTTTTTTTGTTTTTTTTGTTTGTTTGGCTGTTTTATTGGGGTGTGTGTCAGAGAGTGTTTGCTGTTGTTTTTGCTTTTATTCTTGAGGACTGTGTTCTCCCTGTATCAGTCTGTCACCCTACTCCACCTGCAAAGATGTATTTTTTAAATACTCCATCTTTGTTTTCGCCTCCCCCCCTCCCGCTCTCTTCCTCTCCTCCACCCCTCCGTCCTCCGGCTCGGCAGAGGGCAGCGTTTGCCAAAGCCGTCGTTCATGCTTCGAAGCGGGTGAAACCAACGACCACAGACCGCAGAAACTCTCTACACCAGCTTCCAGCCTTAAAAGCCCCCTACCTCTTACCCACCCTGCAGGAGACTGAGGCGTCAGATACCTCACAAATGATCAAGAGTATTGGGAGTTGCACAGGACCCTGTAAGTGGCTGGATTTCAGATGCTTGACAGACTCCATCAGCTCTACTGGATCCACCCAAAACTCTTATTGTGGGAGTGTAAGATGAACAGTGCCTGCTGACGGCTCTGACTCTTCATTCTTGGAAGAAGAAGATTTAAAAAAAAAAAACCCTCTTTCTCCCTCTCCTCCCCCCTCTCCCTCGCTTCTACACTCCCAGACCCCTGCAAGCTGACAGACTGGACTTTGAAGAACTGATGTGATGAATGATGCTGAAACTCTGCATGGAGATGGGGAGATGGTCGGGTAGTCATGGGAGACCTCTGTAGGTTCCAGATGTGTAAAATGCTAATGGTAAATATCTGCTTAAATAAAAACAAGTGATGATTAAAACTGGAAATCTGAATCCCGACGTGGCTCGTGTGGTGTCTGATCAGTACGTACAGGCTGATGACTTATTACAAAGGATACGGTTGTGACAGCCTGTTCTGAGCTGATGAAAAGCCTGAACATGTCATCCAAACCCTGACATGGTGTTTGACGCTCTGCTGGAGTTCTGACTGATGAAGTGAAGGTGAGTCGTCCAAAGTGACTCCACTCAACTCCCCATCGATTCCTTTTGAGCCAAACTTTCTAAAGGAAGTCAGAAGACAAATTTCAGGGCTGCTTAAAAGTTTTATTGAGTTAACGTTTCTAACAAAGCAGAACTTTGCCTTCTCGCACCTTTTAAGACGGACTTGTGATTGAATCAACATGTAACCGTAGACAGTAATGGCATTCTAAACGGATAACGCTTTTATTAGACTCTACCTTACACACTCTGTGAAGGAGCAGAACCTCCTGTGAGACTGTCGGCAGTGTGTTTGAATGACCGACTGCCAACGTTGAGCTACTTCACATTGTGGAGAGTCTCTGGTATTATTCGTGCAGTGACAGATCAGTGCCGACAGATGGCACCATTCATGTTTAATTCTGATTCCACTGAAGCCTGATTAGTATGGAGGAGTAAGAGTGCCAAATTACAAAAATAAATTAATACAAGAATAATAAAATAAAAGTGGAAATTAAAAAAAAGAATATATGAAATAAAAATAAATAACGTGGCAATATAAAGCAATATTAATCAAAAATTAATCCATAAAAGAAAAGGCTAATAAAAGTAGAAATATAAAGACAAATAAAATTATTTTAAAAAATCTTATACAGAAATAGTAATTTTTTTTATTTATCATTTATTTATTTTATTTTGTTATTTTTATTTTAATCAAAACCCTTATAAAAATAAAAATGAAACAAATTTTTTAAAAAATATAATAAAAATTATTTTATTTATTTCTCCTTAAATTTCTTTTCTTTTATGGATTCATTTTTGATTAATGTTGCTTTATATTGCCACATTATTTATTTTTTAATTTTATTTATTCTTCTTTTTATTTCCACTTTTATTTTATTGTTCTTTTATTGTTTTTTTTGTTTTTTTTGCAATGTGGCACCCCATAGATTTGGGCAAAAGCATTGATATATTCAGCCACTGGCCAGTTTTAAGATTTTGGGATATTTTGCTTCAATAAAATCTGTAGAATACACATTTAGGCGTTTTATTTTACTGCACTGTCACAAGGTCACTTGTGCAAATGTGCAATTTAGTACATATTTAATGTGATATTTATGCTACATTTGCATACATATATATTTAAGCTTAGTTTTTATTTCATCTTGAGCAACTGATGCAATCATATTCACATTGCTCCATGTTATTTCTCATATAAAAACAAGCCGCATATTAAAATTTCAGAAAAGTAGTGGTGTGATTGTGTAAAAATGCACAAAGACAGAAAATTAAAATACTTGTGATTCAAATCATTTCACTGCATCAAGGTGCAGGGCTCTACCTTTTAATACATTTTCTTTTTTAGTTCTCTCTCATGATTTGTTCCATCCAGTATATTTCCTCTTCCCTTTTAGTCCAGATGTTGGAAGTTGAGGGGTCAAGTTCTAACCACTTAATTATGATGCATTTGATTTCTGCTGTTCCCAATGTATGTATTTTAATGTCTTCATCGGTTCCCTCTGGTATTAAACCCAGTTTGTGAAGTTTTAGGGGAATCAGTCCCACAAACACCTTTTATCAGGATGTTCTTAGAGCCCAAATCTGTGTCTGTGGTTTTCACTCTGCTGCTCCAACATTCATTTGATTGTGTTAGGCCCATTTTAGCCACTATTTCTGTTCTCCAGAAAAAAAAAATCCCATAATTACCTTCCAGTTGAATCCCCCTCTATGTGTTTGAGTTGGATCCTAGATGTGGCCCACTTTGAGCTCCTTCCCACTTGTCCTGTGCTGAGTCTGTGTTCGTCTCAGTGTCCCATCTGCAGTGCATCTCATTTGCACATTTTAGCATAAAATTTAAAAACTTGCAACTCAAAAAAATAATCGTGTTAATGTAAGAAACCAACAGGAGAAGTTTCACAGCAACATCTCTGAGAGAGTTTAAACATGTATTGGTTTCCATTTACACATACAAGAATCATGCACATCTTTAAAGGCAGTTTTCTCAAAATTGTATTTTTAATTTTTTCAAACTCGGAGCCAGAAATCTCCTCTTCAGTCGCACTTATATATTTAAACCTTCCAGTTTTATTCTTGTCTATATTTATAGACCTTTTTTTTCTAAATTTAAAAAAAAAATGGCAACAATAGATTTTTTTTTTCTCCAGTATTTTCTAGTTTATTGATTAATAAAAAGACAAATCCAAAATCTCCTCAGTAAAAACCTTTGCTCAAACATCTCCACAAACTGAAATGAGAGTTTTGAAGCTGGCTTTATCTCAGGTCCAGATTGCTGTTCTGGAAATGGATGCAAATGAGGGAATATTTTGAGAGATAATATTTAATTTGCATAATCACACAGAAAATTTAATAAAAGTTCAATATTAGGGACGTTGGTTTAATTTGTCTCCTTTCAAATACTGTATCATCAACTGAGTGATTCAACTTTATCACATCAAGATCTAAATTTCATTTCCAGCTCCAGTTCAGAAGACTAAGAGGACTCCGTCAAGCAAAGTAGCCCCACATAAACACTGCCACCGCCATCATGATGATGGCGTTAGAATCCACAGCGTACATCCACACCGGGTCCTCTCTGATGTCAGGCATCTGCTCCGGTGCTTCTGGAACTTCCTGATCGGGGGCCACAGCGTTGTCGTCCTGACCACAGAAGCGGCCAATCAGGCGACGGATACCAGACTTCACTTCCTGTTCGGCCACTGAAAGGAGGACAAGTTAGTGCTGTGAGTGTTTGTTCTGTCTGTCTTTGTTACTGTGACCTCCGTTCTTGTTTACCTGCATCACTGCTGTGATTCTCCCTCATCCTCTCCTCAGCCTCTCTCCTGGCTCTCCTCCCTGTTTCCTCTTGCTCCCAGTCCAAATCTTTCCTCTCCTCTTTGGAGTGACGAAGGCTGAACACCAGACGATGGAGCTGAAAGGAAAAACAGAGAACTCGGTTTCTGAGGTCACTAAAAGATTCTCCTTTTGGGAAACATCTACTAAATGAAAGTTCTTAATGTGTGGTCACGACCTCGTCTGGGGTCTTTATGATCCAGTAATAAACCACTCACATGTTGGTCCTCGATGGGCTCAGTGCAGTAGCTGACCAGCAGCACCAGCACCGACGTACAGAAGAACAGTATGATGGCGAAGTGGAGGTAATGGATCCCACACACCAAGAAAGGGCAGTGAGAGGGGAAAATGCAGCTGCCAGTACCGAACCAGAACTCGGGCACCATCCGACACAGACCCATCAGCAGACCGCCTATCAGGCCCCAGAAAGCTCCCTGCAGGTGGAGACCCAGTATTATAGACCTGGTGTTTCATCAGCCTGACGCTACAGTCGTCCTCAAACGTGTGCATTAAAGAAAAGGCGAAATTCACAACAGTCACTCAAATAACTAGAAACTGAAAAAAGCAATAATAAATAAAAATTTGCAAAATTATAATTTAATGACAGAAGACATTGTTTTTGAATTGTGGTTGAAAAGAATAATTAAAAAAAAAAAAGTTGTTCAACAGAATGCTAGTTTACGGATCCCATCATGCTTGTTTGCTTGTTTTTTAATATTTCTGTTGAACCACAATTTAAAAGCAATGTCATAATTTTCCTTATATTTTTATTTACGATTACTTTTGTCAATTTCAACTTATTTCAGCTGTTGTTTTCCTTCTTCAATGGGAGGCTGTGAATACATCTGAGGACGACTGTATGTCATGATGTCCTCGTAGGCGGAGGCAGAATCTCACCGTCTCATTCACCCTCTTCACAAACACAGCGAGCAGGAAGACGGAGGCGATAGGGGGCGCCAGATAGCTGGACACTGACTGGATGTAGTCGAACAGCTGACCGCTCTGAGCCGCCTGGACCACTGGGATCCAGCAGATACTGACGGCTACGATGAGCAGAACCCAGACTCTACAGAGGACAGGGAAAAGAAAGACCAACTCATCAGTTCACAGAAGTCCAGAATAAGTCCTCGCCTCTTTCACCACTTACCCCTCGCAACAACTCGAGCACGCCAGCTCACTCTGCTCAAACACCACTCTGCGCTACACAACAGCAAGTTGGAATGTTGCAGTAATTATACATTTTGGAACCAGAAAACAATTTTGAAGAGGAGTAATGATCCAGAAAGTCCCACCCTGCAGGACTGGTTCTTTTAGTTTGGGACATGTGAAACCCTGAAAGTCTGAATCTGTGTTTTTGAGACCGTGTAAATGCTCGGCCATGGTGTGACTGATTGTCTGATGTGTCTTTCAGCTTATAAAAAAACACCACTTTGACACATCAACAAGGTAAAACACTTGATTTTTACATACAGTACATACAGATGTGCTTCTCGTGTATTTAAGCACACAGATTTCTTGATGATTGCTCAGAAGTTGCCTTTTGTTCTCTGTAACGCCGTCTGTTTACCTGCCTACGATGATGAGCTCGCGCTCGGTGGCCTGCGGTCGGATGCGAGTCCAGATGTCCATGGTGAACAGAGTGCTGCTGCTGTTGAAGATGGAGGCCAGAGAGGACATGAGAGCAGCCAGCATCACGGCCAACATCAGCCCTCGCAAACCTGGACGGAGAGGCAGCAGGAGGACGAACAGGGACGAGTGGGAGGTTGGGAAGGACGACACGTGTGAGAGATGTTTTAAATATGTATTACAAAGTGTCCCTACCGTTGGGCATGATGGACACCACCAGTTTAGGGTACGCGATGTTGGAGCAGCCCACCTCCGTCCCGCACACCCTCTTACAGTCCTCAGGCACCACGCAGCCAACCTCATCTGAACGTGGAGGAAACACAGGCACACACTGAAAAGACAAACTTCTGATGCAGCACGTCTTGCTTTCAGATGAGAGTTCTGCTTTCCCAAACATTCACATTCAATCCAGTCCAAGTTCACCCATTTACAAAACAGAGATGTGCTTCACAGAATCATCATCTTAGGCTTCATGTGTGAGTTTTAACCACACAGGTTTGTAGGATTCTGTCTGGTTTTTGTCAGCCTGGCGTTAGCGGGGACAGACCGGGGTAGAGCACTCTGCTGATCATGCCGGGGAACACCATGAGGAACATGGGCAGCAGTTTGAGGTATCCACACATGATGCAGCCGGCCTTGACGTGGGTGAGGCTGCGAGCTGCAAGGCACCGCTGGACAATCACCTGCAGAAACACACAGGACGGACACAGAGATCAGAAGAAGCTTACAGGAAGCTGGGATTCAGCTCCCGAATAAGCATCTAAAGGTTCCAGCAGTTTCTGACTGAGGAGCGGAGGATTTGATCATTCTGTGTCTTTTGGCTGCAGTCCTTAAGTTCTTAAGCCTTCCTCTTCCTCCTTAAGGACAGGCCACCAGGTTATCAGGTTCACTTCCTCCGCTAGATTTAAGGGGATTAATGTAAATGAAATAGCTATGTGACCTGCTGCAGCTCCAGTGAGTCAGCGATAGATACGGTCTCACAAAGGCAGAGTGCAGCAACCAGACAAACAGAGAATGTTTGAAGCAAAACTGTGAAACTAATATTTACAATCTCAGTTTTGATGAATTTAATGCTGACAGGGTTGAGACTGCTC